GTACCTGTACATGATGTATCTTGGTTCTTATTTTTTTTGCGATTACCTGTGCGCCCTTCACCCCCTCCACCCTTCCCTATTTACATAGACTTCGTTTCCATATTTTTTCTTTTCTCATAATTTTTCCTTTCCCTTCTTCCCTTTCCCCTTCCCCTCCCACCACCCAGCTTCACTTTGAAGGCAATGTGCACGGGGATGCTTGGCCAGCAAGTGCTCAGCTCTGTGAGAACAAGAGTGATCAAAAAATGTAATGAATATTTACATCTTAAAATTTCATTACAGTAAAAGATTGCCATGAGTCCCCCTTAAGTAACCTCCCCTTACGTTGAACACACTTAATCTTCCTTAGAGAGCATCTTCCTAAGATGTGATTGAAAAAATACAGTGAATGCTGCTGCTGAGTGTCATCCAACAGAAAGTCAGGCTAGTAAACACATTATGCTGTGTCCTCATCCACCTTATTCACTGGATCTGCCACTGTGCAACTTCTGGCTCTTCCTCAAAGTCAAAATGCCCATGAAAAGTAAATGTTTGAATCAATTCAGGACAATAAGGCAGCCATGACAGCACAACTAAAGACACTCATGAAAGAGAACTTTCCGAACTGCTTTGGAAAGTAGCAAAAACGATGGGAAATAAATCAGACATGCATGCTTAAATATTGCATGGTCTCTCTTATGTGAGAAATCCAAACTATAAATAGAGAGAAAATAACAGATAGATAACAGGAAATTAGGAGATAGATCTTTTAGAAATGGGAGGAGGACCAGGAGATGGAGGGAAGAGGGGATGAAAAAAGAATTAAGATGTGTTAAGTACATGTAACAATTCCCCATGAGAAATGTAACCATTATGTACTGCAAACAATACACTAATAACAAATAACAATTTTAAAAAGATGGGATAAGTATGCTCCAAGCAAGGAGAAATGTTTTGAGGGGGATTTATGACGATGTGTCTGTTACTATAATAAATGTTCTTTATTTTAAAACACAACCTTGTTTTTCAATCAGACCTCACCTATGTGAGTGTGTATTGTTTTTGATGAGTAGTACACTGGGAATGATAAGGAATTGGGGTCAAGAATATTGAATTCCATTTTAGACAGAATGGGTTAAAGATATTTTCAGAATACCCACATACAGTGATGAGTAGGCACTTGGAAATGTGGGGTGGGCCTCGGACAAGGGTAAATGCTATAGTTACAGACTTGGGAGTTATTGATGTATAAGTGATAGTTGGAGCTTGGGCTTTAGTACAATTGCCTAGAATTATATAGAACATGCAGAAGAAGTCGGCAGAGCCCTGGGGATCACTGACAATTGAGAAGGCAGATGGAAGAAGAGAAGCCAGGAAAGGAGACTCAAGAGAGCTGAGAGGGATGTAGGAGAGGAAGCAGGTAAAGGCAGGGTCTCAGAAATCAGGTTAAAAAAAACAGAAAATAATCATAAGCTTAAACATGTAATCAGTATTTAATAATTGGTTGCCTGGAAATGAAAGAAGGAATAAAGGCATTTCATTGGCATAGCATATTCCTTTTAAAATAAATCTGAAGCACACTTATTTTGTTCCCAGAAGCACAAACCCTTTAATATGTGAGTATAGAGTAGTCTAGCAAAATACCAACAACCGAGCCTACAGTGTAAACAGTATCATTGTTGTGTGGTGGAACTTCTCTCTCTTCTCTTCAGGGATAAGTGAGTTCCCTCGGATCTCTGCACATCAATCAAAATTTTACATTCAATTGAGTGCTCATTCTGAGTTTAAAGTGATTCTGTGACTGAATGCTAAGAAAGTTGGGCTTTAGTAATTTGAAAATAATTGTTCTAAAGTGATGGGCTAATGTGAAATCTATATTCTTTTTCTTATTTTGATTTTTGCAACTTACATTGTAAGGTATATTCCTCCAGTTTTACTGCTCCACAGATGGAGAGCCCTGCTCCACTGGGGATCCTGGGGTGGGGGGGTGCTTCTAAAACTATCCATTAGGCATGGGGCAGAGGCTGATGCTCAGTGGGGCTCGGTAGATGTTTATTGAATGAATGGATAATGTACTGTTTTCCTTCCTAAATATTAATCCCTATATCAAAGGTGTCTCCATTCAACAAAGCAGAAAAGAAAACAACCTAACACCCATAACACAGTGACTAGGGATTAAAACTATTGCTTGTGGGTACAGGATGGGGCACTGACTGCTGTCCTCTGAGATCCCACCCTATTAGTTGACTGTAAAAGCTTCTTGGAGAAAATCATTTCAAAAGAATAGGCAATAGAATGTGATCTTCACATTCCCAAAGATTTGAATTGTTCAGATTTTTCAACCTCTGAATTCAGTCTATTCTCTCAACCAATACTGACTGAGTGCCTACTATGTGCTAGGCATGGAGAAAACACAGCAAATAAAGGGTCAGAAGACCCTGTTGTCATGGAGCAAGCCTTACAGCTGGAGGGGATGGGCAATAGCAAGCAAGCAAGTGATGTGTGTCAGTGGTGATGAGTGCTAAGAATGAGAATAAAGCCATGGGCCAGGGATGTAACTCAGTGGTTCCTCTGCCTGCCTCAAAAGCGCAAGGTCCCAATTGTTCCCCGGTACAAAAAAAAAAAGAATAAAGCCAGGAGAAGGGGTGGAGGGGTGGAGAGTGCCAGGGGAGGGAGAAGAGCTTTTGCTCTAGGTTGGTTGTTTGGGCAAAGATGCTTCTATTTGGGCACAGCACTGCTGTAGGTTTAGCTGCAGGCACCCCAAGTTGTAAGTGGGTGGGAGGTGGCGAGTATGTGCTTTGTGAATGCAAACATCAGCCCAACCAAGAAACCTGCTGCCCGGTAAGCCTCATAATATATAGCTTAGATGATAGCTGTAAAAATCAACTCTTCAATTGTAACTGTAAGACAATCTTTGCAGGTGATTTTAAAATGAAACAGCCTCCATTATTCAAAAATCCAGAATGGCAACCAGCTCTTAAAATGACGAAAGTGACCTACTCATATTCCCTCTTTTTTTTTTTAATGGAGACTTTTGCTCTCCTGCTGAGACCATGTATTATATCTTGTTTCACATGAAAATGATTTTTTGCTGCTAAGTTTGAAAACTGCCTGAAAATAGCAATTAATATTGGAAAAGCTGACAGAACCTTAAGTGTAGAGCCATGATTGGTGCTGCTATAATTATGTGCCTGTGTGTATACGTGTCTGTGTAAACACAGTATGAAAACACACGTGATGTCCACGACAATATACAGTGTATTTTCTTGCAGGTGAGTGGAGGAGATGGGGGAGAGGGAGAGAAAAGTGATAGAATTTTTAAAGCACTCTTGGGTGGCATGGATTTTTTTCAGTCTTACATCTGTATGACCTTGTTTTTCAAATTATTTTCACGTTCACCACCTTGTTTGATCCTCACAACTTGCTGGGGGAAAAAAGACAAGGCAGGCTTTTTCTTCCTGTGGGATAGATGAGAAAACTCAGCCAGCCAGCTAGGATGGCTTAAGATTCTGGTGTACAAAATGAGGAGCTTGGACCACATCATCCCCAAGGTCCCCTCTAGCTTAACTGTTTGATGACTTTGTTTCTGATTGTCCTGAGGGGACATAGCTATTGAATGGTAGAGACTCCCTATAAGTCCAGGAAACCTTCTATCACACAGTTCCTCCTTGTGTTCTTCAAATTTACTGCCTGTTTAATTATCTGCAAAATGCAATGTCTACTCACAAGGTGTGGAGAGGCTCACTGAGGGGATTAAAGGAGGGCTTTGAGAAGCACCTCGTGCTGTGGTAGCTAGTGTCACTAGCACTATCATCACTTCTACTAAGAAGGAAACAACAGAGTGTAGTGGAAAGAGCATCAGTGTTGGATCAGGTGGATGAGCTTGTAATCATTTACTAGTTGTGCCACCTCGGCCCATTAGCCAACCTTCCTGAGCATCCTGAGAATCCCTACAATGTGGAGTTGTTTGAGGACCAAGGTAAATGCTGTATACAGTGACCCATTCCAGATACTCAATACATGGCTAATAGGTGTGAATGATAAACCACCTACCATAAGAAACTGGGATCTACTTTTATGATTCCCTCAAAGCCCGAAGTGGCATTTTATAGATATGAAGTGTAAACTTGGAATTAACAGATGCATACAGCTGTGTCCTCCCTCAAAAAAGGAAGAAAATAAGATTGGGAAGTGTGGCCATTCAGTATATGTCTGGGACAGGAAAGGAAAATCCACATGTACCCCATAGTTAACCAGTGGTCTTTGTGGAGTTTTTTTGTCAGGTGGCCTTCTGAAATCCAGTATATAATTTATATGAGTCCTCTATTTTTCTCACTGCAATAATCTCACAAGATTGTGTGGTGAGTTACAAAAGCCATGTACATATTCATTTTGCCATTTTCATTTGATTACTGTGAGGGGCTGCTTTCTAGTAGTGATGACCATTCTGAGGGAATCCGTGCAGTTGGCAGCCAAAATCCTATAACCCCTTTCTGATGGGGGTGTTGGGGATGTCACAGAAAGGCTGGTGGCAGGACTAAAATGTAAGAACTCCAGTAGGCATTGCCATCACTCATCTCTATGGAGGATTTCCTGGTACTGAGGTTTCAAGGCATATTAAACGAATATTTATGGCATCTGTTGCACATGCTCAGGAGTAGTATTGTGGCCATATTGACAGGTACAAAGAAGTCACAGGTGAGTGAGACTGCCCTGGACCCTTGTTCAGAACACCAACTTTCAGTCACATTTTGTTTACTATAGGCATTGTTTGGAAAGGATAAAACACAGCAACTGGCCATTTGAATGTGAGATATATATATCTATATAGAGAGATAAGTATGTATCTTAGTGGATGTATATCTATCCTTCAAATTCTGTGAATGACCATGTTGTCTAGATGTCTCCAGGACCACTGAGTTTTGCTTCCTTAGAGAAGTACACTAAATGTTTGGGCCAATGTCTATTATGTCTGGTTGCTCTCAGTTTTAAAATGTGTCCATTTCTTTTTAATGTTCTAGGGGAAAGCAATGGTATTTGCCCCACGCCGAGGGACTACTTTAAACCAGTTTTGCAATCTAGCTGAAAAGGCTGGTTTCTCTATCCAAAGACATGAAAATTATGATGAACACATTTCAAACTTCCACTCCAAGGTTAGTTTTCTGCTTGTGTTAGATAACACTTTAATCCGCATTGCATTTTGAAGAGATCATGGTCTTTTTGGCGGGTAACCTAAATATTTGATTAAAGCACTCCTTAGGTGTGTTGCTTCTGAACAGCTATTTGTATCTGATTATTTTGTGTGGTAAAGCCATCTTTTATCTTGGCGTGTCTGGAAGGATTTTACAGAAACCATTCCTGTTTACTCTTTTCTCTGAAACAAACTAATCTTTTCATTCATAATAGACTAATTTGTAAGATACAAGAGGAGGTGGCATAGAATGAATGATAAACATGCATTTGTATTTTAATGAAAAACCTTCAGCTTTTAAGTAGGTTAAATGCTTAGCTGCACTGAAATAAATAGAAGGTGAATGTCTAATTGTATCATGTTGGACTATAAATCTTTATCTCTGCTTGCTTTATGGCTGGGTCAGTTGGCAGTTTGAGACTGTTAAATCTCATACAGACTTTCACAGTTGTGAGGTTAAATGTCAGATTGAGGCACTACAAGATTTAGGTCAAAAGCACTTATCTGAGAGTGATTTCTAAGCCTGCTTACATAAAGCAATGTTATCAGCCTTTTTATTATTTATGAGTATAGGGCAATATAGGACACTGAGAGGCAAGTGTTCCACTGAAAACTTTTTAGGATTCTCACGTTTGCTAGTACTTAACACAATGACCAGTCAAACATGAATCGCTTCAGTAGTTTTGTGAAGAAATCTCCCTTTGCTGAGCTAGTGTGACCTTGGCAAGAGACTTCTGACTTGTCACGCTTTCACAAGTTATGACTGCAGAAAAGTAAAAGCCTGACCTTAATTTTCTCCTGGGACAATGTGAATAGCATTCTTTATTACCCAGGACCATGATAGGATGTAGAAGTGTACTGGCTTTTAAAAAATTATATGCAAAATGGATCTGATCTTCCAAACAAGAGAATGGAAACTCTCACTTTCTGGACATGGGTTTACTTCTTTGTGTCCCTAGGGCTCCATTTGGTTCTTCAGTTTGTGAACTGAAAGAGTTAAATCTCATCCCTCACCTGAGGAATTGGGCCTATTGCTTACAAAAAGAAAATAAAAATACAAAGGCATGTTACTCAGTTTTTATCTGCTTTTCCAGAATAATGTTTTCCCCTTTTTAGGTCCCTTCCTAGAATAAAAGGAATGACTCTGAGGGCTTTACTTGCTGGGGAAGGGTCTCTCCTCCCAAAGGGATAAGGTGGCTTTCACTCTAGAGTCAGGTTGGAGCTACAGGGATCAGCTGGTGGCTGCTTCAATGTCACGTCACTCACCTGTGCCCTAAACAACAAATGCTTTTAGTTTCTCAGTGACAGCTCAGGAGAGCAAAGGTGGGGTCTTTCCACCAGCAGAGATGTTCAGCATTGTCCCTGAGACTGTCTGTCTCCTCCCTCAAAAGATCTGAAGTGTGTTGGGGCACATAAGACATTCAAGTCCTTGGTAGCACCTCTCCTTTGTCTAGAACTTGAATGTCAGTTCCTAGTGGATGGCAGCCTCCTCTTTATTTCCAGTACCCTAGTAAACATGGCCCATTCCAGCAATCTCTGAACATACCTCATGTTTATACTGTGCACCGTACACAGTAAGTACTCTATCCACTGACTGATGGATCCGTCCCACAAAAACAAATTCCTCTAAATACCTATGTGGCTTTCCTTTTCTCTCCTGATAATTTCCTTAAGTCAAATTCCACACCTTGCTGACTTTGGACTAAGAAACAGTCCTCTTCTTGATGTGAGGGATGAGATTTGCATGTTATTCTCGAGAAGTACCACCCTAGGGGAATATTCTGCGGAGTTGGGGTGCCCTGGGTAAAAGGTATAAGCGTGATAAATACGTTTTTAACAATGAGAGCTATTTCAGCTGGTCTGACGTCCTGCTTCTTCCCATAGAAAGCCTCTGGCCCTTCTTGTGGCCGCTTCAGCAGCGGGGTAACTGCTAACGGCTCGGCACCCGCCAGCCACCCGCTCCTGCTTGCACTGGACTCGTCCTCCTTTGCCAGAAAAAAGACTGGGCGCCGAGGCAGTGGGGAGCGCCGCTGCGCCCCAGCGCGCTTTAGCAAGGGAGAGGAAGGGGGGTCCTCTGTCCCCTCGGCCGCTGCGGCCCGGAGCGGGACGTGGAAGGGCCACGCGGGCCCCGGAAACCTCCACCCCGGCCGCTTTTGTTGGCCGTGTGCTAATAGCCGGGGCTTAAAAGTTTCCCATCTTGAGCGGCAATCGGCTTTCTTCCTCTCCATCCCTGCCCAAAGCCCGTGGTCCCTGGGACGCGCCTGCTCCCCAATGGAGGACAGCGCTTTCCTTCAGGCTGCGTGTTATCCTCTTAGCCCTACTGTGCTGGAATAGAGCGTAACCAGCTGGAGGACTGTAAGACGCCTGATAATGCCGCTCTTTTCCGCTGTCCTGTCTTAATCTTGTTACACAAATGGTTGTGAAGAGATTCATGAATTTTAATTTTGCCCTCTGCATTAGTGCCTCGCGTCACTCATACACAGCTGCCTTCTACGCCGAGTTTTTTCACCCCTCCTCTTACAACAGGGGAAAAAATTAGTTACAATCTTGGCAGTAGTGCAAGGTAAAAAAAAAAAAAATCTACAGATTTAGGCAACCACCCATGAAGCTGATTAACAGTCAGTGATCAGGAGGAACAGCTTTGCCTCTTAAACTTTTCACCTCTCATTGTTAACTGTGAAATTTTATTTCCGTTAAAAAGCAAGCCTGTAATCAAAACGGTGCCATTCTGCACTTTTCTGCCAGTGCTTTTGTTAAACTGTGCCCACATCATGCAGCCAGTATACTCAGGAACCAGGCAGGCAAAGGTGTAGTATGTTTTTTAAATAGTGCCTTTCTGCTAGTCCAGGCGACTGGAAGGAAAAATAAAAGGCGTCCCTCTCTTGCTCAGCCTCTTGGTCACCACCAGACTGAGAATCAAAGCACTGCCCCTTAGGATGTTAAGACGGTGCAAACCCCTTCCAATGTCAAGATAGCAAACGCTTTCGCAAGGTGTAGACTAGCTCAGAGATTACAGCTGGCTTGAAATTAGTTGATGAAAATACCCTCATTCATGCAAATATTTTTGAAATATAATTTTGCAAGCCATGGCTTGGGGTTTTTTTTAATTTAATATTTGCAAAGCCACCAGAGTGTTTATTTTCTATATTTTTGTACTTAGTCATGAAAATAGGCTTGAGCTCAACTGTGATGTCAGTACATTGTGTTAAAAGCACGGCCATATTGCAATTCTGCTTATCTATTCAAAATGCCACATTACAAGTGGCTGGTGCTTATAATCTGTGTGGTGTGCTGTTGATAATTGTGGATACTGTAAAGGGTAAACAGTCTGAACTCCACTCCTGCTGCTGCTGTTCATGCCGTAGTAAGGCTGAGTGTTACATCCAATTATGAAGTAAAGCATAATGCTACTAATAGCAGCTATATAATTTAGTTCCATCCTCAAAGACCCTGTTTTAACCTCTGAAATTGAAAAATTGTTTTATTCACAGTTTGCTTTTTGTTTATTTTTTTCAAGGTGCTATTTTATTTCTTAAAATTATAAGTATTAATTGGGTAAATGGAATTATTCTTAATTCACATAACATTCTCCCACTGAAGCAAGTGTGTACCCTCCCATAACAGACTTGGCTGATTCAAAAATGTTTGGGGCTGGGTTACTGTCTTGCCTTTGAGGGCCTCCCCCCATTGCCGGAAGGGCTCACAATCCAGACCCAGCTGGCCCCTGGCCCCTTCCAGCAACCAAGCCTCTGCTTTGGCCTCCAGAGGTCAGCATAGAATTCAAGTTAGAAGTGATTTCTAACCCATATTTACAGAGGAATTATTTATCCCACATATTACCTCAGGGACTTTATGAAGAGCTCATTTGGATTTCTGTATATCAGCGCATTGTGAGTGAGCAGGTCAGCTGACTCAAGCTGAGTAATCAGCTTCTTTCTCTGATCCCCAATCTCTGAGGGAAGAATTTAGCTAGCTTGCCCCTCTTCTTCCTGTAAAATATTTCCCTGAGCTTCCTTTATTTCTGGGGCAACTGGCAAAAAGGTATTTAGGGTTGGTAGATCCTGGGGAATGGGCATGGACTGGGAAGTTTGTGATGCCTTTTTCTCAGCATTAAAAAATAAAAGTATTATTAAAGAGTGATGCAGAGGGACCAGTGTTTAGGATTTATACTGTCAACATTTTGGTGGCAACAAAGTCCACAAGGACCTTTCTAAATAGACAACTAATCATCTGTGAACAGAATAGACTCCACCAAAGAGTCTGAATGAAGTCAGTTGAGTGATCTACCACCACCATCTGTTCTTAGGAAAGTGGATTAGAAATTGGACTGGACTGGCTTTGTGTACCCCAGTAAAAAAGCAAAAGTGAGCTCCTGGCTTCTGTCCTCAATAGTGAGCACACATAACAGCTTGGGAATGTGATTCAGAAGAAACATGCACCTGGAAAAGATTCAGGTTAACGTATCTCACACAGACCAATCCAGGAGGACAGACGGGGCCATTCCTGTACCTTTAAGGTGGGGTAGGAAAATCTGTGACCGATGTGAAATAATAATGGAATTGTAATTAAAAGAAATATTTTTTTCTGATCCTTATATGTTAAAAAACAAGTTCACATCCCCAGTACCAAAAAAAACAAAACAAAAAAAAACGAGTTCACAGTTGACTCAAAAACACCAACTTCAAAACTATGGTCTTTACAAATTGCAAATTACTACTTGCTGGAATAAATATAAATATGACTCTCAAAATTATTCTCGCCAAATGAAGAGGAAAACGTGAATTTTGGATTCTGGTTGGATTTTAAAATCTTATCACAAGATGCTCCTTACCATTTTACCTGAGCAGTATTGAATGTTGCCACTCTGATTGTTGGAATATGGTCTCCTTGGAGAGAAGAATTTTTTGGTTATTTTTCATTAATATCAAACCCTAAAGAAAGCCTTTAAAAAGTCTCCAGAAGCCTGTCCCTGTACCCAGGTGTTGCTGTGGCCTCCAGAATGATCCCGAATGGTCCCCAAAGCCTGCCTGTCCAAAGAGTAGGGCACTGGCTGGGTTGGAAGGATTGGGAGCAGAAACTTCTATGTGGAATGATTGGTCTGGGGAAGAGGAAGAAGCCCCAGCATTCCTTTCTGTTACAAGTGCAGTTTGGATACTTATGAAAAAACACTCTACCCTCATCTAAAATAAAACAAAACAAAACGTTCCCATCTTAATGTGTAGTGTTATGCCAATGCCACTGAGAACTACTTTGAGTTGCTTTTTTGTGATTAATTTTTCCAGAACTATATATTTAGGTAAAAAGTCATCACATTATAATCAACTTTAATATTGACTTGTAAAAATTCCTAACCTTGGGGCGGGGATTTAGCTCAGTGGTTCGGCTGCCTGCCTCGCAAGCACAAAGTCCCAAGTTCAATCCCTGGTACCAAAAAAAGAAAAAAGAAGAAATAAAAATTCCTAACCTTTTTTTATTCTTATTTTCAGTTGAAAACGGAAAGCTCAGATATATATGAAGAAAACCTTCATTACCCATTAATGCTTATTTTAACTAAAACTGGATAGAAGATTAAGCTTCCCCAAAGAAGACAATATCAACGGCACAGGGAATATTTTCGCAAAAACAGAAATATCTGTAATGGGTATAATATGCAACGAACCATGGGTTCCCTGAGCTTCTCAAGCCCAGGGCTTGGGCCCCCACTCACTTTGTGACATTCCAGGTATGGGCTAAGACTCCTGTCCTCATCCCAGTTATTCCCCAGCCATTGGCACTCCACTCCCCCACCTCCCTTTTCGCAGTCTGTCTGTCACTTCTCCGCTTTTCCCGGAACAAACCCTTGTTGTCTTTAAATATGTATAAGCAGTCTGTCTGATATTTGAATTGATTTGTGAGCAAACTAAATATTTTTCCCTCTAACTGAGACAGAATTTCTTTTTGTGATTCCCCACACACACACACACACACTTTTTTTTTAAATGGTCTTTGTTCTATTTTGGTGGCAGTAGTTTTTAATCTGTAAACACAGCAAATATCATGATTCTGTCCCGGGTGAAAAAATAAAGCGCATCTTTCTGATCTCCCTCCAATTAACTGTGTTAAACCTGCCATCTCTTTCTCTTGTTCTTTTTTTTCCCTCCATTTAAACAGGATGTTTTTTCCCTATAGATGTATAAGAAATGACTACATCACCTCAAAGCCTCATAAACTGACCGTTTGTCCTCTGGACACAATAGCGTGGCCAGCCCTCTGCTCCTCCTCCCCAATTATGTGTGATTAGTCTCAGTGTGCTGTGTCAAGGAGGGGGAGTGTGCTGAGTGCTTATTATCTGTTTAGGTACAAGAAGAGCACATTTAGGCTCTGACTATGAATGAAAAGTGAGCCTTTATCAGGGCTTAAATCTAACTGCTGCTATTCTCCAGGCCTCTTTCAAAACAGGTCCTTCCCAGAGAAATTTTGAATAAATGGTTGACAAACTAGGTTGAGACCAGGGGGAGTTAAAAAAAAACAACTCAATCGCACAATTATCTTATTTAAAATAAGTATATACTGCTAGGTGGTTTGATTGGAATGTAGGACAAACATTTAATAGGTGCTACCTAAGATTAGGAGAGGACTACTTCTCTGCAGGGAACCTAAGCCTGGCCTGCCTAGTGCATCCCTGAGATGCTCTAATGCCTTTTGTGGAAATTCAGATGTTTATCTGTAAGGAATCATCTGTGCCCACTTTGGCAGTAATGTCATTAGGTAGGTTAGCTATATGCCCTCACATCTTCAGTAGAAGTAGAGCATGTATTCTACATGATACAATTAAAGTGATAGGTGTGTGTGTTGGGGGGGGTCTGGGGGAGCTCATATTTTACATGTTAAACAAACTTAGCTGTCATAAAAATAGGGACTCTCAAATGTCTTCTCCACGCACTTCTATCATCAAACAAATTTTTCACCATCAGTTTTCATGTCCTTGTATTCAACACTTTTTCTGCTCCATTAGAGCACCTAGATGGATCTCAGAAGGCATAGGTCAAGTCGCAGTTAGATCATACATTTCTTTCTCACAAAAACTTGAATTGCAATGCCAAGTGATGGGCTAACATCACAATAACAGCAATTTATTCCTCTTTGGATAAAACAGCAGTCTATTCTCAGTGCTAGATAAAGACCAGGGCAATGCAAACCAGCCATTTAGCTGAGTAGTTCAGCTAGTGGCAGCTCTCCTTTGGTGACTGTATAGGTTGCACACTGGCTTCATAGTTAAAACTTAGAATTTGTAATATTTTAAAAGGCAGTGCAAGTAGTTCCATTTACACTGATGAAAATACAGCAAAAATTATTTCTTCTGTAAAACCTGTAACTAAATCTGCCCAACAAAGCCCATCCCTGTTGTAGCACCTAAGATGATCTATTCTTTTTTTTTCCTTTTTAAATATAGAACAGCAGGACCATGAGAATATTTCCTCTTTTTTTCTCATGAAAATACATGAATTGGCAAGAATTCAATTTGCATTTATGTGTTGTGGGTATAGAAACCCAGTGCTTATTTCTCTGGGAGAAATTTATTTAAAAATAAACACACACACACACATAACACACCTTAATGTACTTTTTTTTTTTAATCTGAGAACAGTATGTCAGAATTGAGCTAGTCCTACCCAGAGGTACCTAATAAAGAAATATACCTGTTATCATTTGATTAAAGGAATCTCCTGTCAAATGTTAAGGGTTTCATAAACCTATTCTTCATGGCAACCTCACCTGGAAATGTCTCCGGTCCAGGGTCTTTGAAAGTTTTTTTTTAAACTAGTGTAACTTATTATTAAATAATTTTTATTTATTTTTTCAAATTTTAATAGAATGTAGACATTGAGAAGGGAAAATATGACAACTCCAAAAAGTTTATCCATTTACATCTCTTGAATTTTATGGTTATTTCCATGCATTGGTATTGGGTTATTTAATTGCAACTGAAGTGGCCCATTTCATAATTGTCCATGTAATGAGGCACGTGTTTGTTTCAAAAGGAAGCTTGACAGCCCAGGAAATCATAAGAGTTTTTATGATGCTTCTCTTCTTTGTATTCCTTTATCTTTTGATAAAACTCATCATTTTCCTTTGTCATACTAAGTAGATTTGTTTGGGCATAAGAATGTTTCTAATATCACCCATGCGCAGTTCTAATGCAGTGATATGAACACCTACATACAAGTTGGTTATAAAAAATATATTTTATTTTATAGCAAGACATATGCTGTGAATTGGGATAAAAGTGCTAGAAAAGACTACCTAAGAGGTTGATGCTATTTTGTATAAATTGTGTATTTTGTTGGCTTTTTGACTGAGCATGAAAATGTAACTTCCATTAGGGAAGGGTAATTTAGGTGCTCAGTATTCAGCAGAAAACTTGTCAGGGCCATAAAAGCTTTTCTGGCTGGTTCCTCGGGTGTTTTCAGAGAAGAGCTGCCTGCCCCTTGCTGATTTTCCCTTTGGCTTCAGTATGGGCTGAATTTACCACTGCATACCTGTTGAATCAATTTGGGGGATCCAGCAGTTAACTGAGTGAAAGGAAGGATTAGTGGACCTCTGGAGCCCTATTTCAACAGCCAGGTGTCTGTCCTAAACTAGTTAACTGCTTTTGACAGTTGAAGAACCTGGTTTAATGCCATAGGCAGGAGGTGGTGGTTGTTTTTCCTTCGCCCCACTACCAAAGTGGGGCATACCTTCTTGCTAAGGGCTGGCTGTTTTTGTTTTTCATTTTGTTGCCTTTCTTCAATCTAGCTTCCACAGACTTTCACTTTGTGCTTAGTCAGCATTTCAATTGTTTCCAATCTGTGCTAGACAATTGGGTAGCATTGTCTGGTGTGACCCTTTCATTGGACTCTGGGGGTGAGGGACAGGATGTCCACATGGGGAGGGAGTCAAAGTACATGTAGAAGCATGCTCGCACCACATGCGCGCACACACACACACACACACACACACACACACACACACAATGAAGCTGGTTAAAGCCCAGATTAGGGCCCTAGTTCCCAGATTCCAGGTACCCACTCCCCTCTCCCATCAGTCTCCTGACTTCAGACTAATATGAATCATCATAATTATCTTGAGTTGTATGGCAGAGTCTGATTTGAAAGTCATACTGATTTTAGGCAAAACAAATATGTTTTCCTGATTGGACCATTTCCAAATTACAAAGGAGCCAATTGGTGTTTAACTATTAGGCCTGAAATACCACTTTTAATTCTCAAATTTCTTTTGTACCCAAAGAGTCTACTGCCCAGGACATGGTTGAATATTCACTGTATTCTCAGTTCTGGAAGTCTGTGCATTTGGAGTCTATATTTTGCCTCTTTTTTGTTTCCCTGCCTTTTCAATTAATATATTTTTTAATAGATAAAACAGATCATACTGTGACTTTTAAAATGTCAACAAGCTTGTAAACAGAAATGTAATAAAATGGCTAATAGGAGATTCAATAGTTAATGGAGGGACTGAAGTGTGAGCAAATACAGTAGCTGTATATTGGAAACTGTGCAAGTGAAGATGGCTTTAGTATTGCAAACTGAGGAAGAAAATTGTTTTTAATTAGCACCTTCATAAGAACTGCTGATTAATACTGTTTTGTTTGGTGAAAAGCTTTCAGCTGAGTAATTTGTACAGCCATTACAACAGTTTTGTTAGAGCGGGACTCCTGTTGTTAAACACAAACAGCAGATGATAATGGTGGAAGATGAGTTTGTCATGTAACAATTTACCTTATTGAAAAAAGCTTTATATAAAACCCAATACAGTAGGTACCAGCAGAAATCACATATTTTAAATCCTTCCAAAATTGCAGTGTGCCATGCTTGGGGGGTTTTTTTTTCCCCCAGGGACTAGAAGCAGATTTTATATCATTTGTAAAATTATATACACAATTTAAAGGTGGTGTAGCATGGACAGGCCTCTTTCTCAGCAGCGGTTTACATTGGAGCAATAAACTGGCCATGTATTCAAACACTTTCTAACTACACAAAGCAGATTGACAAATGGAAGCCTAATTAAATAATGTTACTCAGATGTAAATTTGCATTGGGACAGGATGCAAGGAAATAAGAATTGGTGCTTTTGCTAGAGGCGGGTTAATCACACATAGGATCTTTCTAAAAAAATTTCTCTCACCGGAAGTTTAATTAACCTTTTTTTTTTCTCTTCCTGGCAACATTTTAGCCGACCAGGGGAAACTGCCCATTCAATGAGACCTGATCAGGGAATAAGAGGCACGTTTCAGTGAACTCCCATCAAAGAGATATTTCACTAGCCAGAAGCATGGAAACTTTTAAAAAAAATACATTGCAATGGTAAAGCATATTTGCACTAAAATATTACACTACCCAAGGCTGGTAAGAACTGTAAATTATTGGAGTGGCGTAATAGAGCATGAGATTTTTTTTTTTTAAGACAGGCCTTCGGGGTAATAACCAGGGTTGAGGCTCACGACAGTGCCAAATAAGCTTTAGACAGCATAATAGTCTGCAAAGAAAGCCACAGAGCACTAATGTGAAGGAAGAGCTGTCCACCACATGCAGCAAAAATCACCAAAGGTCATTTTATGGTAGCAATTGTGACATAAAATTGGTGGTCATGCTACATGTCTAATACTCAGCACAGCTTTATAAATGATGGGCCCCTAGCGATGGCTGTCATTAAGTGCTTTCATGATAATAAACTTTAAACTGTTGGCTTTATGAATCGCCAGCTAGCTTCAGCTGTTCGTTGGATGGAGCTTGCAGTGCCTTAAGTGTGACAAGACCTATTAGGAATTGCAACCATGTTTCAAGCGTACTTGGCTTCCCCACTCCTGGGGTGATTGCTGCCTATTAAACGGCGTCTGGGAAGATTTTCCTCCGGCAATCTCTGATCAAGAGCTTTTTTGGGCTTTGACCTGCATTTCCTTCAAGACTTTCTCTGAGGAGTTTTATAAGAGCAAAACTCCAGAGGATTTATAGCCACTTCTGATTAATACCTTTCCAGTTTTTCTAGCAACTCTCCCACTGCTGCATAGAGAAAAGCTTTCATTGTTCCTGAGGTGCTTATTTGTGACCTTTTC